TTTAAGTCTTTTATCCATTTTGAATTTATTCTTATGTATGGTGTAAGTTGGTGGTCTAGTTTCATTTTTTTGCATGTACCTGTCCAATTTCCCAACTCAAAAGTTCTGCTACTGGCCACTTCCTTTATGATAATGTTCTGTTATCACTCATTCCTAGAGTCTCTCCAAACTTATAACTCACCTTTGATTCTTTTCAACCTATATTTTCTCTTGTCCTTTAAAAGCATTTGCTTCTTACTTTCTTCCTTGCCTTATGACTCATTTTCATATACATAATCCTTGGGTAATTATTTCCCTTCCCAGACCTTCAAATTTATCCCTATAAACTTCAAATTTACTTTTAAATCAGTTATCTTTCCTAAACTTTAGACACTTTCACCTGAGTCTATGACAGATATGTGAAACTTAACATGCATTTTTTATCTTTTTTTCCACTATATCTCTTACGTTATTTAGTATCCAAGTAAATGACAATATTATCTACACCTATAAGTAAAACAAAAACTTAACTATTTCCTTGTAGACAAAATATTAATCATTTACTAAGTCCTAAATATTTTATTTGTCAAAATATATTTGAAACTTTCATCTCTCGTTAATTCCCTTAACTACTGTCTTATTTTAGGGCCTAATCATATAGTGTAACTGATTACTTTTTAAATTTGTATACATTAAGGTTTCTCTGTGCTATAAAGTTCAATTGGTTTTGATAAATGCTTAATGTCACATACACTAGTACAGTATCATACAGAATAATTTCGCCACCCTAAAAAATGGCATATGTGTCATTCATCCATTCAATCATCTCCTGACTTCATTCCCTGGCAATCACTGATTTATACAGTCTCTATACTTTTGCCCTTTTCAAAAGATCATATAAATGGAACCATATTAATATGTGGTCTATTCAGACTGGCTTTTTTTCATTGAACAATGCGCATATTAGAATTCACCCATGTTTTTGCATGGTGTAATAGTTCATTACTATTTATCACTGGAAAGTATTACAATGTATGGAATTTCCATAGTTTACTTATCCATTTACTTATTAAAAGACATCTCTCTTGTTTCTAGTTTTGGGTGATTATTCACAAAATTCCTATAAACATTTATGTGCATGTACTTTGTGTGAGCAGAAGTTTTAAAGAATCAATCCTATGTAATAAAAGGCTAATATGCAAATTGACCAAACGGCAGAACGATTGGTTGCTATGATGTGCACTGACCACCAGGGGGCAGATGCTCAATGCAGGAGCTGACCCCTGGTGGACAGTGTGCTCCCACAGGGGGAGCACCACTCAGCCAGAAGCCCTGAGCTGAGCTCATGGTTGGCGAGCACAGTGGCGGTGCTAAGGATGTTCGACTGATGGCTTAGGACATGGAGAGGGCCTAGGCCTTCATTCAGACATCCCCCGAGGGCTCCTGGACTGCAGGAGGGCACAGGCCGGGCTGAGGGACACCCCCCCAAGTGTACAAATTTCATGCACTGGGCGTCTAGTATTGTATAATTTCATTTATACAAGGTACCCAGAATAGCCAAATAGTAGAATAAGATACAAAGAACTAGAATAGAAGTCACCAGGAGTTGGGGAGGGTGGCGGGATGAGAAGTTATTATTCAATGGGTACACAGTTTCTATTTGGGATGATGAAACTTTCTGGAGATAGACAGCTGTGATGTTTGGACAACATTGTGAATGTACTTATGCCACTGAAGTATACACTTAATATGGTTAAAATTGTAAACTTTACATTACGTATATTTTATCACAATAAAAATGGTTTGTATAAAAATAAAATTGATTAAAAAATAAAATAAAATACAATCACGTAGGTACATGCTTAGGAGTCCAATTGTTTAATTATTTGGTAAGACTGTTTAACTATGTAAATGTTGCGCAATCCTCTTGCAAAGTGGCTGTACCACTTTTTCTTCTAGCAATGAATGAACATTGCAGGTTTCTGCATCCTCACCAGCAATTGGCATTGTTTTTACTGGTCTGTTTTTCTACATATTAGGCATTCTGATATGTGTAGTGGTATCTCATTGTTTTGATTGAGTTCACTGTTAATATGAGTTTGTATATTCCTGTGAAATCTGTCAGCCTTTTATGGCTCTCAGCCAATTTTTAAACATAGTGTTGTGTTTCCTAGTTAAAAACACCCCAGATAATCCATCCATTAAGAAATGAAAAAAATAGCCTTGGACAATTTGCTAAATGGTTAGAGCATGGGCCTGCACACTGAAGGGTCTCAGGTTCAATTCCTGGTCAAGGGCACATACCTGGGTTGTGGGTTTGCTTCCAGCCTGGTTAGGGCTTATGTGGGAGACAATCAATTGATGGTGTCTCTATCACATCACTGCCTCCCCACCTCCCTTCCAATATCTCTGAAGAGCAATGAAATAAATAATAACTAATTAACTAACTAACTAACTAACTAACTAATTAATTAATTAATTAAAATAAATAAGACAAATAGGAGATACAGCCTGGATCATCTCTTATTTCTTTAATAGGTTTTGCTGGTTCAAAGAGCAGCAACAACATAAAATGTGCTCATGCCCTATAGTATAATTTCCCTCATTTTCTGTAGGAGTAATCAAGTCAATGTGCCAACAGGTCCTCTAATACGACACTCATAGACAAATAAAGGCAGTAACCACAGAAAACTATAGCATAAAATGCTAAATAATAAATATTGAAGGTAAGTAAGTATTAACAAATAACAAGAGCAAAATAAAGACTGTACCTCTAGAATAATTTGTTAAAATAAGAAGGTAAAGGGGAAAGTTTTGAATATAATTATCCTTGAAAACTGATTCTTTCAAGTATCTAATCAATTATAAACAGATATCTATAGCAGAGAAGAAATTAATCAGTTTTTAAAAATAACTTATAGATGCTTAATATTAAATACAGGTGATTAAAATCAAATTTCATATAAAAATGAGAAATGTCCTTTGTTTTCAACTTTTTACCAGTTTTGTCTACAATATTTGAGTAGTAACTAACCTCCAAACTCAGCCTCATTTTCCTACCTTCCAATGTCTCATTTTACTCTATGAAGAGAAGAGCATTTTGGTTCCCCTATGACAGTGATGGCGAACCTTTTGAGCTCGGCGTGTCAGCATTTTGAAAAACCCTAACTTAACTCTGGTGCCGTGTCACATATAGAATTTTTTTTATATTTACAACCATAGTAAAACAAAGACTTATATTTTTGATATTTATTTTATATATTTAAATGCCATTTAACAAAGAAAAATCAACCAAAAAAGTGAGTTCACGTGTCACCTCTGACACGTGTGTCATAGGTTTGCCATCACTGCCCTATGAGCTGAAAGCCTAGAAATTATCAGGCCGAATATTTCCATCTTTGCACAACCACAGGATAATCTCTCCTTTGAGATTTATCTCCCAGATAAATGGTCTGGGAGAATAATGTTGGACCAATACACGAAAAGAAAACTTTGGAGTGATTTTACAGACCAATACTCTCTCTCCACCAAGCACTGCCAGATTAATAAATAAAAACACTGGGCACCCGTTACATTTAAATTTTAAATAAAATAAAATGTTGCATGGTACATACTGAAACTAAAAAAAATTACTTGTTCATTTGAAATTCAAACTTAATTGGGCATCCTTTATTTTATCTCACAGCCTGTCTCCATTCCCTTCAGTTAGTTTAGGAGTACGAAAGGTGCGTAACATTGGAAAGGTACAAGAGAAATAGACTAGATCAGCAGGGAAGATCATAAAACTCCACAGAAAGAACCTAAATAGGATAAAATGTTTGAAGACTATTTCTTTTTTTTTAGGTAACTATAATTTTAATATACCAGGGTTTTCATTTAACTTTAAACATCTCTGAAGGTATTTACATATTGTTCACTTTTTCACAGATGCTCTATCAACATTTTATAGAGGTCTTACCTTACCTTTCATGTCTTTTCTTAAACCTGTTTTTTCCTGGAAGAAATGGTGCTTATATAGAATAACAACATATTAATACTGTTTTGTTGATTTTACAGTTAATTACTTGTATTTCAACAAGAAAGAGGTTTTTATCTATATTTTAAAAGCCTTAAATACAGGTAAACAAGTACATTTAAACGTATGCATTTATTATGATGAAATACTATATTTATATTTGTATGTAAAGATATTCCTTTGAATTTCAAAGTTTTGAGCCCAAGCTAAATTGAGGATGACTTTTTGGCTTTAGGGAGAATCATCCATCATATGTAGTTGAAGTTACATTGATAGTACTTAATAAGAGACCACAGCCACTGAGTTAAATCTAGTCACCAGAATGTTCCATGTATAGCATTTAATCATCACTAAAATATAATTTATAGAAATTCTTAAATTTAAACAAAAAGGCTTCTGGCATATTAATTATTAGCATTATGATAATATTACTCCCCCAAAAACATAAACATAAACTACTTTTGCAGAATAAAATTTCTAACTTTAGATCTAAAATATAGAACAATAAAATTGATCAAAACAAAGTTAGAGAAGCCAAGACAATGAAGAAAAAACATTGTGTTAGAAATGCCCATAAATGACTATGTGTGTGTGTGTGTGTGTGTGTGTGTGTGTGTTTGTGTGTGTGTGTGTGTAATAAAGCCAGCATGATTCTGCTTTTATATGGTGAAATTTAGCAAGATAATGAGATATCTTTATAATTACCTGCTACAAATTATAAATATATATATTGCCAAATATTCTGAAGGCTAACAATGATTTATATTATAAATGAAAATCAATGACATGGGGTGGCTATTCATTTTATTAACATTTATATAGCATTTTTCTAAGTATCTTATTATATTGAGTTGTATATGACTCTTTGCAATCTAACAAAGGTTTAAGGGTTGTATTTCTTTTGTTTAAAAGTATGAATACTAATATATTTAAATGAACACCTGAAGACATGTAATGAAGGATTTTATATATTTTCATTATTTGATACATAAAGCAGGATTTTTACCTGAAAGACACCCAGCAACTGACAGAAACAGGATTAGTTTCCAAGAGGAAGCCATGTTCTTCACTAAAATCTCCCGTGTTGCAGTGTGGTAAGCAGCTCTAACGTTTCTTCATTAAAGAATGCCCTGTTGAGATAGATAACAGTTTTCAAAAACGCAGAAAATAAACAAAAATGTGAATGCAAATCAATTTTAAAATCTCATAATAAAATGGTAAATAGCTTTCAGTGCTAAGGTCAGATTAATATATATATTTGGATATTGACAACAATAATACAATTTCTATTAGAATTAATTTAAAGTGTAACACAAAAAACTTTAGAGAAGTGATAAACTTTCCCTATCACATTTATTTATATTGAATACTTGCTTGCACATAATAAAAACATCAGGCTCTAATGGAGATGATTTTTTTTTCTCACAGGGAATGTATAAGAGCTATATTTATTACATTAGACAAATTATTGGACTAGAAAAATACGGTAGAGAAACGAGTTACATTAATATATATTCCTCTAGTCTAGAACATAACTAATGATCAATTAGCCAAGTGACTTTACACATGTGCCTCTAGCTCATCTCAACCTCCATAGGGAATTTTTCTCACTTAATTATTAATGTCAGCTGCCTTTGTTTATAACTCCTGTGATGATCTATACTGTGTTATAGTTCCCTCCTTTGGTGAGCGATTTCTCTCAGCATCTTTTCCTAACCAAACCTTAGGGAAATAAGGATTTTCATGAATATTTAAATTTTTTGTCTAATGCCATTTTTAGAACAATAATTACTATAGCACATTAATAATCTTTGGTCCATTTACTTGTCCTGAAAGGTACAATAAACATTAAAAATGTAAAATTCTAGCATGAAACTTCCTGCAAGAACTGGACAGATGTCTGTTAGAGATTTCTATAATAAACAAGTAACTTCTGGGTTTTCAGGTGTCGGTGCAGTCCTTCTAGGCCGGGAGTGATTAAATTGAGAAATAATTGTATAGTATATGCATGATTTTTAAATAACAATTGCTTCTTGGCAATTGGTTTCTCTTACAGAATCAGAGGTTATATCTATCTTTGAGAAAACATCTTAAAAATATAAGCATCCCCCTTCGCTGCTAAGTTATAATTTAATATAGTTATACCCAAAGAGGTGAATATCTTATTAGTCTTCTACCTTAATGATGTTAATACCATTAATTCCATTTTATTCATACTTTTAAATCTAAGCCTTGGTAAGCTATTTTAATTACATGGCTAGGGATCAGTAATGGAAAAGAAAGGTAATGAGTTAATAATGGTTGATTCCTAGCCACCCCTTGAACAGATATATTTATTATTATTATTTTCTTCCAAGTAAATCAGAAATAAATAAAATTTGAAGAACAAAAAGCGACTTTATCACTAATAGTTTTACAGTTTAAAACATTTTTATTTTTATACACTGCTTTTTCCAGAAAGGAAAAGAAAATCAGCACTTCACACAACCATTAGAGACCTAAAGTTGCTAGAACTATGATTATGATTCATGAGAACTGCATATTTGAAATGGTGAATTTCAACCCACAATGTGAGTTCTGAGGAGCCACTATAGTTTTGCTTAACTTGTTTTGATGAGCTTCTGCTCAGCCCATGTTCCTCAAACTGATATTTCCCTCTTTATATTCAATTTCCTCTATTGTCTTAAATATATTCTTGCACACACACACACATACATATAACCATATTCACAAAAGTTAATCACACGAGAGAGACACATGGATTGGTTACCTCCTACAAGAGTCCCGGCTGAGGCCAGGGATCAAACCTGCAACCCAGATACCTGCCCTTGACCAGAAATTGAACACACAACCCTTCATTCAGTTCATGGGCACTCTAACCACTGAGAAAAACCATCCAGGGCAGGCTGTATATCATAACTGAGACTAACGGTTGTACATTAAACTGTTGTTATTCATGGATAAATTGAAAAGCTATAAATTTTAATTTGGAAACTATTAATCAAATACAACAAAAAAACCCTCCCATTTTAAAAAGACCTTATGTCAGTGCTGAAACAATTTTTCCTTGGTTATTACAAATATTTGCAAGCAAAGTAAAATAAGCAGACCATTGCTTTAGTATTAAGCCATAAATTATAAATAATACATGCATTGTGCAGTTGATTGCATAGACAAGTATTTAAAAATATCACATCTTTACTGGAGTCTGAAATAAGATTATTAAACATATGCTATATAAAATAAATCAAGTGACAGCATGTTGCCACCTGAATACAAATCAGTTATTTTTTTCTTAAAGGTGCATATAGAAAACTGCCTCCTTGTTAATGATGTGTGTATATGAGTGTGTAAAGATATTAAGAGAGAGAGAAAAAAATTCTATTATTGCCTGCTGATCTCTCTCCATTTCTGTAGAAACAATTCCCTATAGTTGGGCCACTTGTAGGCTATCACATCGCAGTTAGAATTATATTTTAATAACATAAATCAGGCTACATTATTTCCCCATTTCAGTGGTTTATTTTCTAAATAAAATTCAAATTGCTTATGTGGTCTACAAGACCATTTTTAACCTGGTCCCCTCCTAACTTTCTGATTTCATCTTCTAGCGTTCTGTACTCCAGTCCCACCACACTGATTTTCTTGTTGCTCATCAAATATGTCAAGCATTCATCGTCTCACTGCTTCCTTTGCCTGGCTCCTTGATCGACAGTTTTTACCCTACTGCATAGCTTCAAATCTTTGAAGACGGCTCCTCAATTCTTCTTGATCATTCTCCTTAAAATGGCATGCCACCTCAAACATTTCTGTCAGCCTTGTCACTGGATTTTACTGCATTGTCCCTGCTTTATTTCTCTTCTTAGCAATTATCAGTATTACTGGGATGTAATAGCCATAAAAGCAAGACTGTCTTCTTCACCTTTGTAGACACAGCATCCAGAACATACCATGCCTGTTTTCAATAGGTATTAAATTAATCTTTTTGAGTAATAATTATTAAATAAACTAGAGTCTCTCATAAGTAATTTATTTGGCAAAAGATAATACAAGAAAGACAGACCACTATTTCTTAAATTTTCCATAATAATAACAGCTAACATTTATGTAATTCTATGTGCCAGGCACTATGTTATGCATTTACTTATACAACCTCTGTTAAGTAACTTGACATCCCTCTTTTTTTTAAAATATACATATATATATATATATATATATATATATATATATATATATGTATGTATATATATATATATTGATTGCATAGAGGAAGGGAGAGGAAGGGTGTGATAGAAACATCAATGATAAGAGAGAATCATTGATTGGCTGCCTCCTGCATGCCCCTCACTGGGGATCAAGCCCGCAACCTGGGCATGTGTCCCTGACTAGAATCGAACCTGGGACCCTTCAGTCCACTGAGCCAAACCAGCTAGGGCTTGACATCTCTTTTTTATGAAGATAACTGGCCGAGATCACATAGCTAGCAAAAGCCAGAACAGAGGTAAAAGTAATATAGACCTTTCAGCGACATCATCTCCTACCAAAGAACTTGTGGCAATGTCTACAAAGTCTCCAGAAGCTCTCATCTGCCACAATCAGGGCTGGTACTGAGTTAATAAAAAATCAGTTAAAAATCATGCACTCATAACTTAAATGTTGTGACTTAACTAATATAATATAACGCTACATTATTGGCCCATCTTATATAAGAATGAAATTTTTTATGTGATAGCATTCTGCTGGGAAAATTCTTTCTTTTATTTTAACATCATGAGTCTTTTTAAAATATATATCCTGCCTGTAATATGTCATATACAATTTTTATTTTCTTTAAAGTGGTGTAGAAACATGTGAAGTTGTCTGATGATAGCATTATTGAAGGTTTTTGTAATTTTTATACAGTTTCTCACACACATTTCCTAAGTCATTCATTTTATTGATTTTTTTCAAAACTATTAGCTTTGGGGTTTTTTCATACAGACAATACTCTCATTCTTGGTGCACTCATAAGTCATTTCTCTGCATAATGTTTATTTGAATTACTTAATAACATCAACATGTACACCCTCCATGAACAGATAGAGGAGATAATAAAGGATGTCAATTACTTGGCAAATAAGAACAGTGGGCGCGGACAGTATGGCTCAATGGTTGAGCGTCGACCTTTAAACCAGGAGGTGACAATTTGATTCCCAGTCAGGGTACATGCCCTGGTTGTGGGCTTGATCCCCAGTAGGGGGTGTGCAGGAGACAGCCGATCAATGGTTCTTTCTCATCATTGATGTTTCCATTTATTTCTCCCTCTCCTTTCCTCTCTGAAATCAATAAAACATATTAAAAGTTTTTATAAAGAACAGTGGAAGTCGAGTAAAAGTGTTTCTACTTTGATTAGTATGTGATAGAGCTATAATAAGAGGGATTTGGAATTAAGTTTGGTTGAAAAGAATAAAATGATCAAATATCTCTTTTTCTCTCCTTATTCTCTATCTCAACTCTTTGCTAAGACTGGGACTAGTGGCACTTTTGCCTGGAATAAGTAACCTTTCCAGGCTGAGCAAGGCCAGGGCGAGGCTCACAGAAAAGTAACATTGAAAAAAAGCCTTTATGAGAAATTGTATTCTACGTGTCCTTGAAGTTTTCTACCCCAATGCACCTGGACAAAATATAGATAATAAAACGCAACAGAAGATCTAGCAGAGAAACAAAAGAAAGTGTGCTGGTCTTGTCATGCTGGCTATCATACATCCCTTGAGGACCATGCAGCCGTGTCAGGAGGTGGATGAACAGAATTCTCACCTTCAAACATAACCAGAGTGAGTTATGATATTGTGAATCACAACAAAATAAATTATATTTTGTGTCCTTGACAATGTACTATGGGTTGTAGATGGAAATCTGAGCTCATAATGTTTAGACATTTTGGAGGTATTTTTTTAATATGATTTTTGACAGTGTAATTAAGAACATTTTTTTTTACCTTCACAGAATTTGCCCTGAAGTAAAGTGTACATACAGCAATGATTTAAGAAAGAGAATCACTAGTCTTTTGAGACCTTAAGTCAACTTTGTAATTTTATTTAAAACACAAGATTATCTAATACTACATAGTGCATTTAATAAAGGCAGAAATCAG